CAGCTAGTATTCAATAAGTCTTTAAGTTGAAGTATCGACATATGACATCATCTCATCATTTGGGAGATTTTAACAATACTCGTCCTATGAAATTTTTTTGTTGTATGAGACAGTTACAGTAAATTTTTTATTTAATCAACTATCATTAGTTCTCGATTATTTTAGTTAACCTTTTCATAAAAATCTTGGGTAATTTTGTGGTTCACTATCTTGGTGAAAAGAAAGGCTTAAAACTAGGGTTAAATAATAAAAAAGTTATATGATAAAAAGAAAATGGACATTTTCGTTTATTAGGCCTTTTCATAGTAGTACAAAGGTCAATCTGAAATTCTTAAAACTGCATTTGTGATTACAGATATTTTTTCATGTTAAAAAGCTAAGATGTGATTGGTTATGCTTATTTCCTTTTGTTTGATGTATCAACACAATAAAATGAACTGTAATGCTGCTTTTATATGAAAATATATCAGTGGTCATAGAAGAGTACTTCATGTTCTAGGGATACTTATTTTAGAAGAGAAATTTTAATCTTGTTTAGAAATCGTTATTTTTCTTTGAAAAGACTCAAACCTTGGATTTGAATTTTGAAAGCTTTTATTCATCGATTATTCATAATTTATTCAGTTTTAATAACTTGGCAGGGATCATTTAGAAAAATTTGAGAGAATTCTGAATGGTTCTTCCACTGAGAGTGAGAGTAACAACAAATACCCAGAAATCTTGTTTGAAAAAATTGTGGCCTTGTTGAATGGTGAGGTAAGTATTTCTAATTTTTTGTTTGCTATTTTTAACAGATTTGCTCTTTAGATGTGTTTTTGGATAAGAAATATTTAGTTAAATCTATGGCAAGTAATGAAAAAGGTTCTGGACATTTTAGGAACAAAAATTATTTTCAGGAAATCCTTATTGTGGTCACTTTGTCAGGCTGTTTCTAACAGACTTGAGAAATGCATATGTATACAAGTCACTGAAACATTATATATTACTAGCAGAAACACTGCCCTATGAGCAGCTGTTGTTTGAGCTAGTAATTACTAATCATAATATTCATACCTCATTGAAAAAAATTTAGAAAAGTGAACATTTTCTAAAAAGGATTTTGTTTCTGGGAAGTACTGCACTGGAAAAGTGTTCAGCTTGTGCTCTTTAGTCATATGCAATTCATTGCATCAAAATGATTCAATGTACAGAGCTCCAAATTTTCATAAATTTTACTCATATAAACTGTAATGTTTTTATATATTAAAAGTGGTACTGTTTATTTGAAAAAAAATCATTAGATTTTGAAGAACTCCAGTTCCTCAGTACTACGTTTATATATTACATCAATAAAGATATAATCAAACCCTCACGTACAGTCCTAGTGAAAGTTGTTATTGTTGTGAGTGGAATACTTTTATTTAAAATTATGTTCCGTTATAAAGAAATGATTGTTGCACATACCACAGTTATTTTTCTAATTGTCTGAATCTTGAATACCCAAAGTAAGAAATTTTTTATAGATTTTTGTTTGTGGTGCCATTCAATAGATGGCAAAGTTTTGGTTACTTACATAGATACTGATATACATGCCCCCCCAGTGGCTCAACGGTATTTCTGTGGACTTATCACTCTAAAAACCAGGTTTTGATACTCATGGTGGACAGAGCACAGATAACCCATTGTGTAACTTTGTGCTTAATTACAAACAAACTGATATTCACACTACATCCACTTTAGTAAGATCATTTGCCTTTAACTTTTTCTATTCTGATAAGTTAGTTTAAACTAGGTTTTCAGTTTGTTTAGCTGAAATGTGTCATTAAGTTGTGCTTATTGTAGCCTATACAAAATAAATATTTGTTTTAACTGTGTGAAGATTTTCATATTTATATTATTTTTAGGAGTTATATTTAATTTGACATTTTCATTAATTTGAGTTGATGTAGACAAAAATGACTTCTCATTGTATGAAATAATAGCTTAACCTGTAGGACTTTAATCCTTTACTTGCTACTATGTTTTTATTAACTTGATAAAAGTTTTGAAAGTACTTAGTATAAATGATCATGTCAGTGACGTATATTGAGCATTACTAAAATGTAAAAGGTATATCGTTTTCTTTGCTAAATACAGTATTACTTGTAACTCTGTTTCAGTCAACATGTATCACTGTCAATTCTGATGTTTTGAAGCTTTCTACAGTGGAATTCCTACCTGAGATCCTTAAAAGCTTTGCTTTTAAAACAAGGTGCTTCTTCTTGTTTTAATTTTTAGGAGTAAAATTCATAAGAATTTTTATCTTTATGAGACTTTAGAGTTTTGTTTGGAATAAGTTTGAGTGAAATTTGTGATCATGCTTTTTTTTTCCTATCATTATTTTACCCAAACCAAAAATATTCAGAAGGGTTGCTCCTGGTATCTTGGTTAAAATTCATTACCAAATGAATTATTCAAGTGTTCATCATTCCTGACAATGAAATAACATGTAAAAGCAACTAGTTTATATACATTTGGATGATGAATACAATGGACTAATATTTATAAAGAAAACAGTTTCTAATTTGTTACTTATCTGATTTATCTATTCTGAGAATGACTGAATGTTGTGAATTAATCAATTAAAACCACAGCTAATGGAACTTCTTTATGTTTTTAAAAATGTATTCAATATTTGCTTATTAAATAAGATATCTTAACATGGTAGTTGAAAAATTGTTTCATGGTAAATATATTCTGAGGGTTATAGCAATAAGTGTGAAGAATGATCACACACAGAGAAATAAATGTAGTGGTTTAAATCCTACCATATCAGAGAGTGTAATGGTGGTTAAGAGAAAACATGGCTCATATTCTGTGTAAATTAAGTCTTTAGTTTAAAATTATAGCAGATGATTCTGACAGACTGATTTTAAAAGATTAAACTTTGATAAATTAAAAAACAGACTTGTGTTATGAAGTTATTTTGTTAACATTAAGTTATTGAAACAAGTTGTGATGTTCTATCTTAAGTTGCTAACTGAGTGTAAAATGATCAGTTTTGATGCTGAAGCATTATTTACTAATGTTCCAGTAAAATAACAAAACAAAAAGAAAACAATAGAATTTTTCAAACAAAAATTACCTGAATTAAGCTTAACACTTTCAGAAGTGATTAACACTTTCATCTCATTAATCAAAATCTGCATAGAAAACAACATTTCAATATTCAAACAAAAATACAGAATGACAATCTGTCATTTCCAATACTATGTATTTTGAAAGTGAATTATTTCTATTAACAGACATGAACAACATGAAGATTCCATGGTTGTATTACATAGATAATATCTTCTCTGTCTGAACAAATCACAGAAGTTATTATCAACATTGTTTTCAAAAACGTAATCTTCTTCATAACACAATAAAGTTTAAATGGAAAATGAACAACTTGCTTCTTTTTCTGGTACAATACAATACAATATATTTTCTCACATAATAGCTTTCCTTGATTTATGCTGCCTTTTATGTGTGTCAACTAGCCTTGATACTTCCACCTAATTTCATGTGATTACACATAGTATATTGCATTGTAACATGCAACAACCTTCTACCAATAGGAGTGCAACACACCCTCCTAGTGCAGCTCTGTATTGGAGATCACACTTCATCACTTCTCAATTTGGCACTAGTGGAAAAGGTTTCTGCTTACATTTCTGTAGTATGTTATACCTTACAGCAATCTTTCCCATGAGAAAATTAATGTATCTAGGATGAAAGGAAGTTAGCCACTTCTTTCGCCAAAGTTCTCTGTTAAATATACATGTACATATGTGAATTTTTAATATTTTGTTATTGAGAGTTAGAAAATAGGTAACAAATAGTATGCCTGCATACTACAAAGGATTAGTAATATTCAAACACAACTGAGATATATCTGAGAAGCTAGTCATGAAATATCAATTACTCATGCTCAAATATTGTGAAATAAATCTAGAAATAAAAGTAATAACGTAGCTTTTGACAAGTAAGAAACGACAGTATTTTCAGTTTGAAGTAAGATCTAAAAGCTTACTTTTATTGTAACTCTCACATGTATATTCAGTTATTTGTTCTAAAGTTAAATATCTCTTTATAGAAATTTTGATAATTATCCAGTTTTGAAGTTTGCTGTTTTGCTGTGCAACATCATTGGTATTGAAGTCATTTCTCAGTTTTCTTCAGATTATTCTTTATTTCCTGATCAACAAAAGGTAAGATAATGTTTTTATTACATCTACTAAATAATTTATCACACATCTTGAAAATATTTGTTTTGATAATCATTCATGACTATTGATTAGAAATCCTTAGCATTTTTGTAATTATTGATGAGAAAGTAATTATTCAGAAGTTGCTGAATTCAAAATGATCCAGTAACTGCATATTTTAACTAAATAACAGAAAATTAACATTTTCTACTCATTCAGAAGTTAGAAAGTTGCTTTAATTAAAAGAAAAACAGTTAAACTATTATAAATTACTTAATGACTGAGGTTGCCAGTTTTTGACTTTATAAAATCTAAAAAAAAGTATTTTGTTTTACATCCCCCACATGCGAAATTTGACAAGGCTTAGCAAATTATGGCAAGTGGGCAAATGAGTACAAAGTTTGTAAGTGGAAAAAAATCATTGTTTTCTATATTTCTTTATTAATTGTTCTATGTTTTAAGAAAAATAACAATCTTAAGAACTTATTTGTAAATAGTAATAATATATATGCATATGTAATGTGATATAACTGAAATGTGACTGAATTTTACAAAATACTGGTTCATTAGAACAAACTTAAGACAGGTCACATTGTAAAGGACAGTTTTATACCATTGGATATGGTAACACGACTTCATGTGCTCTGCATCACCGAAACTTTTGAAATGTTAGTTAGACATGGCTGAAAAATCAATGAAATAGATGTAGATGTATAATGTTATGAGATTTAAGCTATTGAGACTAAACATTTGTGGTTTCTTGTTATAATTTGTAGCAATTCTAGAATGAAAAAGTGTAATTTATATCTATTTCCTTTTTTTTATGGCAGTTACGAGGTTAGTCGAAATGATCAAACCCATACAGAGATACAATAATGAAAATAACAGATAAATTATAAAGGTTTTTTCTAATAAAAACGTTTGATAATTAACTGGAGGTTATTAGGAGGTTATAAAGATTTTGCGTGTGAAATTTGACAATTTTCCAATGCATAAAAGTATTTTTAATTTTAAAATCAAATTTACTTTGCATGTTAGATAGTCAATATTTGAAGAGAAAAAAATGCTGGAGCAAATCATTACTTAAAAAAAATCTTAGAATTTAATAAAAATATATAATATTTTGTATTCTAAAGCCTTGTAATGTTTTCTGATAATCTGAAAATTTCATGAACATATGCTTCCCATATTAAAAGTTATAGTTTGAAAACTATAACAAGCACAAAATGGTTACAAGGTCGGTCACTGGGATCGAGCTTGTAGTGAGAGAGTTAACTAAAGCAATTATTTGATGTGAGTGCATAGTTATGTGAAATCAAATATCGTTCATATGTAGAAAAAATAATAATGAGTAATGAGCTATGCCCTTTCAAATTAACTACAGTTTTATGTTTAATACAGCTTATCAAAAAATACTTTAAAAATTCAGTCTACATTGTATAGATTGTATGTTTCTTTTAATAACATAATATTATTTCTGTTTGTTTTATTTGTTGTTAGGTAAACCTCTCCATTGATTTAAAGATAAGAGGAATAGCAGAAATCCTCAGGAGTTGTACAGAGGTCAAGATAGATACTAGCTATATACAGCAGTCTAGTAAAGAAAAACGAGGATTCTTTAAGTGGTGTCAGAACGTTTTGGAATGGTTATTGAACAATACTAGACTAAATAAATGCCCTGCATTATTTCAGAGTCTTGATGCATTGTTAAAACTGAGTCCATTGATTATTGAACCATCAATTGTCAAAGTATTTCAAACGTTGTGGCTACAGTGTGGTCAGGTATGATTTACATTAGAATATTAGTGATAAAGTATAATAAAATATATGTAATTTAAATTTTTCTTTCCAAAAATCATATATTTTCATATTAACACTTTCACTGCTAACCTATTTTTCAAAGGTTAGCCCCATCTGGCTAACCAATTTGTGAGAAAAGATATGATTTCAAGCTGCCCACCTTATCGCTTGAGATAATAATGCCTTCAGTGTTTCACAATAATGAATATATATGTACATATATAGGAATGCCTTACCTGATCAGAAATGAGTATAAACACGGTATCTTTTGCAGCATTCCCCTTGTTGGAGTGGGACTTCAAATCTCTTACAATAAAATCTCTTTTCTGAGCATTTACCATTTTTTTTGCAAACTCTGCATGACTGAGTTGGGTATTTCTTTTTATTTATTGGTTGGTGGCATGGCCACCAGTTCATGTTCTTTGAGTCTATCAATTAGACACGTGGCAGGTTAAATCTTCAGTAATCGAGGACATGCCACAACTTGGGGGTGCTTCTTCTTCACTATCAGAGGAAGATGGGGAGAGGCAGCTTCTGCCTGTCCAAATTTTGCCAGAATGCCAACAATTACCTCCATTCTGGAATTCAGCAATGAGAGTTTTTCTTGGGATTATCCTGATTGTACAAGATGTATGAGTTGACTCATACATATGAGTGCAAAGTTCAAACATATACCGAACAGATTTCTTTGTATGAGTTGATGTATGAGTTGACTATGGCAAGTTCAGACATATACAGAACAGATTTCTTTGTCCACATGACTGTTTTCCATGTATAAGGATAGTAGTTTACTATTTGATCAAGTTTGTCTATGCCGGACACGTGTCTGTCATGATCAAGCACACAAGCTGGTTTTTGGATAGGTTGATTGTCCTTGTCTTTCTTGCCAAAGTCCTCCATCCTGAAATCATGAAATGTGGCAATAATTTTTACTGGCCATTTGTCTTTTCACTCTAACACTAACATGTCACCATCTCGATTAAAAAACACCTGACTCTTCTGAAGTTTGTCGGCTTCATATCGCATATCATGAGGAGCACCTTGGTTCAGTCTCAAAGTTCCACACACATATGGATCTTTTGTTCATCTGCTAGCAAAACTTTGGATAGGGCCACACTGTTATAATTGTCTGTGTATACGTTGTAACCAAACCCATACAGGTATTTCAGGAGACCACCACAGATTTGCTGCAGCATTTTGTCAACACCAGAGTAGAGGTCATAGTTGCAAACATATCCACTAGTAGGCTCTGAAATAATCTTCCCTTTCATCCTGTATTTGAAACGTTTTTGGAGATTGTAAACACGAAATATTGCATGACCTCACCAGTTGAGCATTCCTTCATCTAGGGACAGTTTTTCCTTTGGGGTATATACGGTTTTTAACTTGTTTACAATGTAATCATAAATCGGCCAAATTTTATAGAGTAAATATTGAAAATTGACAACTTCTGGAACGTGCATTGTTATCATTGAAATGGAGAAACTTCAATATCAGTAGAAATTTATACCATAGTCTGAGGGTAAAAAGGGTTAACTATTTTTTATCACTACTCTAGTATATCTGAATCTTGGGCTTTTTTACAATTCCAGTGTTGAAGAAAAGAGCCAAAGACAGCCAAATTTTGTAAGAAATCAAATCCTTCCATCATCTAGCACGGGAATATCTTTTCAAATCATGATGTTCCTGGGAAAATTGTGCAACATAAAGATTTGTCTCTGTGAAAACAGTGTCTATTAGTTCATCAGTAATAAACACTTTGAACCATTGAAGGCAGCTCTCTGTATTATCTGGCTGTATGTTTACACCTGGAGTACCAGTGAAATGATCTACATGTGGAGGTCTGTCTACATTAGTCCAGTCCTTCATCTGATTGTCATTTCTCCTGCAATGATTTCCATGGGAATGACCTTACCCATGGCCAGGTGCTTCTGCGGTACCAGCTTTAGCACCATTATTTCTGCCATTATTAGGGCTACATGGACCGGCATGGGCATTTGTGCCATGTATGTCCACATCACTTGATTCATTGCTATTATTTGAGTCACTTTCATTTTAATTATCTGTACTATATTCCTCAGAATCCTCTACATCTTCTGCATCTGAATTATCACTAAATCAATCAGGTTCAGAATCCTCATCAGCGAATATTTCTTACAAAATGTCTTCAGCAGAATGAAGCGGAGCTCGTTTCATGGATGCTGCTATCTTGGAAATCTCAGAAGCAATCCGAAAATTCAAGTCATATTTTTGGTTTTGTAGTACATACAAGGTACAAAACTACCATGATGAACGAAATAAAATGGAGACTGACTAATGTATTTTCCAAAACACCTGTTATAAATTTGTATTTCTGTTGATAGATGGTGTAGCATTTACAGTACTTTAGCATGGGTAAAAAAATTAAGATTTTCATAGTTAACCACTGGGATCATAAATGGAAATATGTAAGTCCTTGTAGATAGCAATGGAAGTGTTAATAAGATTATACGAGAGTCAATTTCATCATTATGAGACAGTTTAAACCATGAACTTATCATATATTTAGTCTAACACATAAACTCTAAACTTAATTTTTTAAATTGTGTTTCAGAATAGACATTTATTGATATTTGATTGTATAAAATAAAAAGTCCTTTTTAATCAACTATATATATTTTTTGAAAATTAAATTTTACTATAAATAAATTTTACCTCTGCTGACTGTCCATATTGTTTCTAAATTTTACTCAATCGTTATTAAAATGGCTTGTATTTTTATGAACGATTTTTAAGATTATGGGTCAACTTCTGTTATTTCTGCCAGCTTTTTGTGACTGTTATTTTTTTGAGTAACATAGCATTAATGTCATGCTGTTATTTATGAAATTAATGTATTCACATTCTTAAGAAATTAGATTTAATATATCTTTAGTAAAGTACAAAGAACTTTTGGGACACAGCTAGAGATTAATGAAAGTATATCATGCAAGCAAATGTGTAAGCCATTTTTAAGTCAAAACACTATTGTTTTCACAAAATAACTAAGTATTCTTAACAGTGGTAATTAAAAATTGTGCACCTTTAATGTGTTCTTAGTCTATTGTCATGTGAATGGGATGTGAGGTGGGAATAAGATTAGATTATCTCATCAGGCCATCAACAAGAAATTCACCCAACTCTTAGGAACATTTACAATGAGAGATTAAAATAAAGAGAGTGAAACCATATAACATACATAAGACAGGATATGCATTAAAATATAAATAAATTCAATATCCTTTAATCCATAATGTATTATATCATAATACTTTGAGGAATTTACCTTTCTTAGATATTTGTGCCTTAGTATGTTCATTTAAATTAATAACATCAGAAATTAATTTTTTCAATACTTTCTATTTCTTTATTTTTATATATGATCAAACACTTACTGTGCACGAAGATTATGAGAGTTTTGTGTCATCATTCTGTATGATGAAGAAAGTTGAGTTTCTGATATTTTTCCTGATTTCTTACTCAACTTCTTACTGCTTCATTCTGCTGCTGATGTCTTGCTGAACTGACTTACTCACATGAGTTTATATAGCATCTAGGTTACCATAACATTCATTATGACCCACTTGAAACCATTCATTATGCATGCATACTGACCCACTTGATACTATTCATCATGCATGCATACTGACCCACTTGATACCATACATTATGCATGCATACTGACCCACTTGAAACCATACTGAAATGCACATCTTGTAAGCTCTTGGTTTACTTAGTTTAATTGTGTCAGCAGAAAGTAACTTCTGATTTTAATCAGCTTTCTACAGTGTTCAGTATTTATATCAATAGACTTCCATACTTAAAGCAATTAATAAAATACTCATACTTGTCACCATAATTTCCTGCTTGTTATGGCTGTTTTTCTGTAATTTGTAGCCATGACCAATTAGAGACACTTGGTAGAGGCAATCATACCTTTGTGACTTTGTGCTGGTGACATCATCATGTCCTTTGATAGCTGGATTCTTTGGAAATTCTGTCACATTTTAATTAACAACATAGTCACACGTGGACAAAATGTTGAATTTCCATTTGGGTGAATAATAACTACCCTATTCATAGGTGTAGGAGATTGGGTTAACTTTATTTGACCTAGACATTAAATGACACAAATTTGCTCTTTTATACAACCCCCTTTATAAACATATCTAACTTACTGTTTTTATTATATATTTATTCCTTTTTCAGTTTTAATGTTTCTTTGTTAATTAAAATTTTTTCAGTGTAATACTCCACTTGTCTCACTATGCAGGCCATATTATTTTTATAAATAACCTGGCAAGTGTCAGGTCATATCAATATTTAGAAACTAGGTCTCCAACAGAAAGGTTCTAGATAAAAATCCTCATTTAACAGTGTGAGTACATGTGATCCGTTGAACTTGTAAAAACAAAACCAGGTTAAAAAAATAATTAAAAATGAAACTTCTTACATTAATAAAGAAATATTTTAAATTGGTTGAAGAAATTGTGTCTATGAGGGATCATTTTTCACTTCATTGCCTATAAAACTTAATATATTGAAATTTTATATCATCTTTGTGTTTAGCTTGATGAAGAAACTAGGACCCACCAGACAGATTTTCTCTGCCATCTCTTATCAACCTACTCTCGTCTGAGACAAATTCCAAAATTTCTTTCAAAACTGTTTCATGCTGTAAAGACAATAACTGAAGAGAAGACAGCCAGCCAAATAAGTCCACTTTCCTCTTGTCTGCCAGCAGCTTTTATGATAAAGTTTACGGAATCAGTGTTAATGCTTCCTTTTGGACAGACTTTGAATGCTTGGAATGTGTTTTTGGACACTATTACTGTGTTGCTGAATAAATATAAGACAGGGAGTGAGTATATCAGTTTAATTGTTTTACAATAAAATGGTTTGATCATTTTCACAACTTGTATTACTAAATTATGAATTAATCTGTTGAACTTCAAAATAACCATTGTATGTTTGTCATATGGATATGAAGACACAAATAATTAAACATACTTCTCTCAGTTTTAAAACAGAATGCTAAAGATTGATTGTATATGTGTGTGTGAATGTTTAAATTACGTGTAGGTGCTTTAATGGTTATTTTGACTTGTCATGTGTAGTGTACATGTACATCAAGCATAACTGTTATCATAATTGAGTTGCTTAGAGATAGCATACAAGTAAATCCAAAACTTTATAGATTAATAACCATAGTTTACACTGGATACAGTCTTAGTAATATCTGTTTAATAGATAGCATATTTCAGGAGTAGCTTCAGTAATTCTTCTAACATTTAAACGAATTTTTATTTGTAAGATAACTTTTTACAAGCCTTTTATGTGCCACCTTGTAAAAAGGTTTTTGAAAGTTCAGATACACCAGATCCACACTTATACTTTCATCCACATAAGTAGTGACCTCCTCTTCAAAGAATGTCAAAAGAATTAATAAAGAAAGATTTATCCCTAGTGAAACCATACTGACTATCCAACAAAAATTTTAAACTTTGTTAAATGACTTTACAAAACATCCTTTATCAGCCTTTCACAAGCTTTTTCCTCCATTGATGTAACAATAATACGCTCATAATTACTGGGACAATTTTCATCACCTCCCCTGAAAAGAGTAGTAATATTAGCCAACTTCAAATATTCTGGTATCAGCCCAGTATTCAAGGACTTAGAAAAAATAGTATCAAGTGACTCACATATCCAATCCTTAATATCCTTAAAAACCCTTTGGCAAATATTATCTGGCCCAGGAGTCTTATCATTCTTTACACTTCCCAATTTTTTCTTAACAAATTCAAAATTAATCATGTTCAGTCTTTTTTCCATATAATAACAGCTGTTCAGGATGAGGAATATTGTTTATATCTTCATTAGTAAAAATTCAAGAAAAATTAGAATTTAAAAATCCAGCCATCTCATAATCATCATATATATCAGTAGTCCTATATCATATAGGATATCATATATCCTATATCATCCTTCAAAGGCTCTACTCCTATCCTAACATTTTTCTTACCCTTTGTTTATTTAAAGAAATCTTTACTATTAATCTTTACATTTTCAGCCAATCTTTTTCATGTAGTTTTTTGGATTTCGTAATTTCTTGTTTGACCAACTCTCTTAATCTTCTCTAATTTACAAAATCTCCCATCATTGCAGTCAATTCAAACTTCGTATATTTGTAATTCTTTTCTGTAATTTGTTTTCATACCCTTTGTGAGCCACCCTGGTTTTTTACCCATCTTTAATATTTAAATATTTACTTTAAAAATTTTCCACATTTGATCAGTATCTCCAGCTAATTCAGTTGCCCAATTCACAGCATATAATTCTTGTCTTATCAATTCAAAATTAGTTTTCGAACTGTGGAATAAAAATATCATTATTTCTTATCTCCATATACAGCAAAACATCAAATATAATTGACCAATGATCACTTGCACTTAGATGATCCTCATTCTCCACCATATCAACCATTTCCATATTAGAATTTAACAATAAATTGAAAATCTCATTGCTCCTAGTATGTTCCCTAATCACTTGGTGAAGAAAACCCTCCTGAACAGTTTCTAAAAACCTGTCTCCTTCATGATTTGACTCTAAAATTTCCCAGTCTGTATGCCTGAGGGCCTGTTATGGCCAGGTGGTTAGGGTGCTCGACTCGCAATCTGAGGGTCATGGGTTTGATTCCCCATCCTACTAAACATGCTCACCTTTTCAGCTGTGATGACATTATAATGGGACAGTGCATCCCTCTATTCATTGGTAAAAGAGTAACCCAAGAGTTAACGGTAGGTGTTAATGACTAGTTGCCTTCCCTCTTTCACTACTAAATTAGGGATGGCTAGCACAGATAGCCCTCTTGTAGCTTTGTGTAAAATTCAAAATAAACCAAACTATATGCCTGAAATTTGAATCTCTCATAATTATAATGTCATTAACAGCTGAATTCTTTACCTTACTGTAGTGTTTCTCATGAATTTCATCAGTTTCATCTGGTGGTCTGTAACAAATTTCAACTAAAGTTTTCTCCCCTTATAACCACTAATAGAAACTTGAGATCAAACCCATTGATATTAGCTGTGATATCCTCAACTTGAACAGCATATAACTCACATTTTACATATAAAGCCATTTCTCACACTCTTTTTAGTACTCTCTACCTGTTAAACAACCTATAAACCTGTATTTCAAAAAATTCCTGTCATCAAAATTGTCTATGTTTAGCCAGGTTTTTGTTATTCCCATTACATCAAAGTTGTAACAAGTGCTCTAAGGTCATCCTTTTAATTTCTTATTCTTCTAGCACTACAATAATAACAGTTTAGCCTACCGTTAAAACTGCTTTTGCACTTTGTTCCCACACTATACTTTTCTCTACATTATTTAAAAGTAAACCATCCATTCCACAAAGCTCCTGTTGAACTGATCTCACAAATCCTTCTAGCCAATATACTTGTTCTTACATATTAATATATTGCTAGCATTTAGCTCTTGTGTCCTACTTATAGTTTTATCCTCACAGTTAGATCTTGGCAGTATCACTGTCAGAACTAAGTTATTATGGCCCTTTTCTTTGAATGCCTTGTACTTGACAGTTCAACTGACCTACCATTCTGTACATCATTAGTCCCTATGTGTGCCACAAATACTGAATCACTGTTAGCATCATTTTATTATATTACAACTACAATCAAAAATTGAACCGTTTGTTGGTTCATTCTTTTAATAACTAGCAAATATTTTTGATACTCTACTCAATTGAAAAGAACATATGACAAAGTAAAATCTTTAACTGATATTTAGAATATTTTTTTTTCATTATATTTTCAGAGGAAAAACCAGAGGTGTGTGAATGTTTAAAAATTGTGACAACAATTTTTCACAGTTTTCTTCTTCATGCACGTCTTACTGATGAAATTCTTCCACCTGTAGCTCTGCCAGAAGTAGAGAAGTTAATGGAAGTTCTCCAACAGTGTGTTATTGACCTGTTTAACGTGTATAAAGATCATAATACGGTATGTTTGAGCATAAAGTTGAATATGATATTTAGAAACTTGTCAGAATTTTTGATATTCTTCCTAGCCAGAGTTTATTGTCCTCAGCAAAAATTACTAATTTAATATTTATGCCCCTCTCATCATCATTAATGTAAATAAATTAAAAGCAAAAGCCTAAGCACAGAAACCTGATGCACACCATTAGTAACAAACGTCTAGTTCGACTGGTCCCCATTAATAACAAACTTTCTCAAATTCTACCATTCTATAATCCAAATTACTATTCTTTCCCCAACCCCTACAAAATTGTCACAATGAATATCAAAATGTCACCTTTATGGTTAGTTCTCTATTTGGTATAGAAAAACCATCTTCAATTACTCCAAAAAACCTATCTCTCTGCCTATCTGACCCAATTAATGTTTCTAAAATTATGGTTTGTCATCAAAGTTCTTTTTAATAACAACCCTGATATCATTATACAATTTCTCATTGTTATCATCTATTTGATCAAATGGTTCTATAACACATACCAACTACATGTTAAATCCAAGTTCTCTAAACTTTTCCTCTCTAGCACATTCATTTTAGAATTTTGGTATATCATTCAATATAACTTTGGTTTCAAGACACTCCAACAAGGCTATTATGACACCAAACATTTCATAGCAATTTGTATATACATAAATAATTTAATACTGTTTTGTTGAGGATTAGAGTGGAGTAATTAGTAGAATTTCCAGCTCGTATATTGTGTTTTACAGAAGCAAAATAAGGACGTTAAATTTTAGAAAAATTATTTATGATGTACCTCTTCAAGTTTCCTCCAAAATACAATCATAACTTGAAAAGTTGAGGTTTTACATTTTCTTTTTATGTAAGCTTTATTAATATTTGTTTTGGATGAAGTAACTAAAAAAGAATGCTAGCCTTTTGTTTTGATTTTTACCCCCTGTTGTAATATTATTGAATTGGTGTAAAATCATTAAATTTCCCATCTGAACAGATATAACGTGTCAGTGGATGAAACTAAGCAGCAAATCTGTAGTTTTTGCATTCAATTGAGGCTTATTTTTACCCCAAATTGTTTGAAAACAGTAAATTTTTGAAGTTGGTGATGTCAAAAAACTGAAAAGTTAAACTATACACGTTTTAATGGTTGAAGACGGCTTGAATGGGTTATGAAGAAAAACTTTAATATAAGTCAATTATTTTCAGAAGATGGCTAAAAAACAACACAGATTAATATCAAATGAGTAAACTAAAAAAACAATTTATAATTTTTCAAATTAAGTTTTGATATACCCATAATGGGCAGAGCACAGATAGCTCATTGTATTTCTTTGCGTTTAACAACAAACAAGCATAATGGCAAGATTTCAATTACTTGGATAGTTGGAATAATTGAAAATAGTAATAATTACAAACCATGATTTTGATTAGTTGATTATTTTCATGAGTCATGACAATATTCACTTAAGATAAACAAACTTGAAGTATTTGAAACTAATAATGAAAAATCATAATGGCATTATTGCAATTACTGGTTAGTAGAAATAATTGAAAACAGTAATTAAGTGGAAATATGAATTTTATTTCGTTTGATTATTTTTATGAAATTAATAGATTTGATCATAATTTTGATTGTTGGCTAGTTGAAATAATGGGAAACACTAGTTGCTTATTTTCATGACATTAATCAGTTTATAGTAATTTAGATCAGTTGATTATTTTACATTACAATAATCAAAGTAATCGATGTTCATGTGTAATTTATTATATCGAGTTAATTGCTTAGCTGTATTGACGATGGTAAGGTACTAGAAAGACTTGAATCTGTTGAACAAAAACTTGACAAATGACCTTTATTATAGAAGTGCAAAATCATGCATTTGGGTTGCCATGATTTGCATCTCACATTTGTTGTAGATGGAAACCCACTTGACAGGGTGACTGAAAAAAGAAGTGAGAGAGCATAGTGAGAGAGAAGTCACTCAGGCCATTGAAGCAAAGCTCTGTTGCTAGTAGTAAAGATAGTATATTTTTAGGGTTAAGATAGTATATTTTTAGGGTGTATTCTAGACATTTCAAGTCAAAAGAAGTAATTATCTCTATTGGACTCACTTGAAGCATTGTGTAAAGTTTGGTCCTTTATTTAAGAAAGTACTTTGACTTATTGGAAAGAGTTCAGTGGAAGGCTACTATTATGATTCTGTGATTAATATTATGGATTAAATTTGTTCTTAACTTTTTTTCTGATGAGAGGTTTAGAAGATTATCCAGAGAATCAATGGAATAAAGGGCTTTACTTTCTTTATACTTTATCCTGAAGATAATAGGATGAAAAGATGCAACTTAAGATTTGGAAAAGGTAGGCTAGACTACAGTTAAGACAGTTTTATTCTTCTAACTGAGTGATTAGGTTATGGAATGAGTTGCCATCAACAGTAATGGAGGCCAGCATAGTGCAGGAGTTTCAAAGAGGAATTGATAAATTCCTAAAAAATGAATTGCGGGTTTAAAATTTTTTCTCTTACTTCAGGGATGGGCATGGAAGGACTTGTCTTGAAGGCTCAAATGGTTCCTTATGGCCCATATGTTAAATTGGTTTTTAAAAAGATTCTAGGAAACTCGTAAAATATTTTCACAACTATATCTTTTAAGATTTTTGTTTTGAAAGAATGCAAGCACAGTTTTCCTTTTTTTTTGGGAGTGCAGATAGCTCAGTAGCTTTGCACCAGTAAGCCTCAAACAACCAACCATCCTTTTTTGGTACAACAGGTTTGTCATTTTCCTGCCATTGTGTAAGTTTCTTACAGATGATGTTGCAGCTGTACTCAGAGGGAAAGAAGATTTATAAAAACAATCTCTATTTCATCCTTGTAACACTTGCACCTTCACAGCAAAAGTCATAAAACAGCTGAATGCTAAAATGCAAGTAAAATAGTGTTTTTATCGGTTACATATAAAATTTTACTTCAGTGGTTTCTTTTAGTTTTCCTAGAATTTTCTAGTCTCTTTATTTTATGTTTAATGTTGCCACGTGTCTAGAGATTTATTTTGCATTTCATCAGGTTCCAGGCCTTGGCTGGTCATTTTTGATTTTATGTTACACCTGGGGAGAGGCTCATCTACTTTTAAAAACCTATCGGTCAGCTTACAAAATGGATTGGTCAGCTCAACCAGTCACAGAGCCACTTAGGACAGGGGATTGCTCACTTCTACACCATTACTTTCCAGCAGAAGAGTTTGAAAACTTGTTGGACATCCAGAGTGATGAATTAACTTTTCACTATTTTAAGGTAGAAAAAATTTATATATATCTACTCTTGTTTAAAACTAAGCTTTAGTTATTTGTTTCAAGCTAAATCATTCCTCTTGAAAACAGACTCATTTCTTCATATTTTAAACGTGTAAGTGTATAAAACTTAGAAATACTGAATTTCAGTCCTGTGTGTTTGTGTTATTATTGTATTAGGTAATTTCCCAAATTTTTTATTTATTTTGTTATAATTTATATGATATTTACAAAATTAATTGTACCTTCTGAAAAGTTTTAATAGATTATTCAATGTTTGGAGCTTGCTTTGAAAAGACATTTTGATCTGTGCTTCTATATAGACCCCAGATAAAAACATCATCTTCAAGCAGATGAAAGAAATATCTGCAAAAGTGTTTCAGATGAATTACAACTTCAACCTTTTTTTAAAAATTACATCTAAAAGTTTCATTATCACACTAATATTAACTCTTTGTCTCTGAGCAGCCGATATATCGGCACGTTCGTTTTCCTACTTGGACAAGCTGCCGATATATTGGCTTGTAGGTCTTGTTCCATTTCATAATCAATTCTGCATTTTGTATGTCTTATATATTCCATATAAAACTAGAACTACTTCTGTTAATGAAATATCTTCAATCTGAGTGCCAATTTGATGGAAGAATGACATGTTTTCAATGATTTACGCATTTTTTAAACCCCTATTTTGAAACAAAGAAAATAACCACGCCCACTATTTCTGGTAGACCTCATCGCTTAACTTCTGAGCAAGCTAGGAAGTTATTTGAGAAACTTCTGAGCCAAGAAAATTACTTTATTCCCAGTGATCTTGATTATGGTGATATTAAAAGTGAGAAATCTGACTTGGATAGATCTAGTGAAAGTGAGGGAGAGGAGAGTCCTGTGGCAGGCTCTTCAGTTGTGAGTATGTGTAAAGGCACGGGAAAGACCAGTGGTGCAAATGTGAGGAAAAGAAAAGCAAGGTCTGGACCTAGACCTAACAAGAGGAAGAGGACATTTGTAGGAGCAGGAGGAGATTGTGAGTATGGTGAAGATGAAGTAACATGGGGTGTAGTCAAAGAAGGAGACACTGATGTGAGCTTTTCATTCCGTGAACCACAATGAAATGCGAAGCTGGATTTGGATGAAAGCCATTCACTGCTACATTTCCTCAAAGCTTTTCTTGATGAAGAAATTGTGGCCACTTTTTTGTGGCCATTTATACTCCATCCAAAGCCTGTATTTGCTCTGGAGATAAAGAGTTAAGCAGTTTAATTTTTATTTGTGGATAAAAAAAATATTTCCATTACAAAATTTACTTACTTAATAAAATTTTTCAGGTACTTTTGTATACTCAAAAAGTTAGAGCTATACTGATACTTTTGGACTGTATACCAGCTGTGGTTAGAAAAACCCTTAGGTCTGTTGCTGCTTATTTAGTTAAAATTGCAATTCAGTTGATTGATATAGACAGCTGTGTATCTTGGAATGGACAGGTAAATATTCACCATTTTTGTTACATATTTGGGTAACTAGCATGCAAATGATATTAACAATATTTTAAGTACACTGAAATATAATTTCTCAAAGATTAACTAATTATTCTAATATGTTTTCAAAACTTTTGAAAGTCTCTGTGTTTCATTGAAAATACATAGTAGTCCTAACAATTTTTAACAGTAGTTTCACTTGGTAATTAAATAACTTTGGAACATGAACATATTTCTAGAAATATCTTTTGAAATAATTATGAATAATTTCCTCTCTAACAACTATAATATTGGATTCAACTAACTAAGGATTACTGTAAGTTGTTATAGTAAAATAATCAAGTGAAAAAATGTTTTGCATTAATAAAATTCTAATTGTATTAAAATTCAAATTTATCAAAATATTAATTGTTCTATATGCATGAAGTTTAGTAAAAGTTATACATCATAAGTGAGCACTTTAAGAATATGAGAAGATGAACCTTTTTAAACTGTAGTTTTTATTATATAAAAGAAGTTGATTTTTTGTGTCAAGGTGTAATGCTTAAAAATTACTACATGATTATGACTGCAACAAGTTATGAGTTAAAAATAATTTTAATATTTTAGAATTTCAATTAATTTATTGCTTAGATATCAAACATAACAGTGGAAAACTTTCAAGTGCCTTTGTGGCACCACCTGCTCGAGCATCTACCTGTTATTTTGCCATATCTTGGACCAAAGAAGATAGCAAATTTATCAGACTTGATGGTGAATATTCTTATAGAATCAACTGAACAAAGGTATTTTGTTTTTCTGTAACAGCATACAAAAATAGGGGGGAAATGATACCAGTGATAACATACCATTGCTCATGTTTTTAACATTCTAATAATAAAGTAGAAGAACATAGCAATATATGTGCTAATTAAATTATAATTGTAACTTACTGTTTCAGAATTTTGTTGGACGAATGTTTTTTACCAACAAGACACAGAATTCATTTGTGAAAATCCTTATAAAATTTATGTATTTATGCTTTTATGCTATCTTGATGTTGCTAGTATTTTTAAAGGACTTTTCTTGCTGTTTTCATTGGTTTTTGAAACATACTTTAAACCTCATGCTGAATTCTTTAAGGTGAAAAATTGACTAAACAGACCTTCTGTTGCTCATAATCTGCCATCACTTTTATCTAACTGTATTGAATGTGAGATTGTATTTCTACATGTTACAGGTGCATCCAAAATCCAACTAGGTAAACAGTTTCTGAGATTTTTTTTAGTCTTAGCATGAAGATACAGCGTTTGCCTGAAAACCATCAGTATTATTTTCATGTAGATAATTATATGTAAACAAAAATATTTTTGTGTTTAGTTATTATGATAAAAAATGTTAAAAAGCTAGACCAAGCTGTTTTCTTGTTGGTGAGTTTCTAAGCCATGATTTGAAATCATAGTTTATTGAAGTAATTGGTGTGTTGTTATTTTTTCCTCTATTGTATTTATTGTAAAGAAATTTTTGACAAACTGATCCAACAGCTTTTTTTTTTACCATATCTAGTTTACCATCTGGCGAATTAACTTTGTATATTGTAACCAAACATTTTATAATGACATCCATCTTCCAAGAATTGAGAAGCCTTCAAACAGCATTTGTGGGATCTTTGTGGAAATATGCTGAAAAGCTCTTCCAGGGCTCTAAAAGGTAGGAAGGAAGAAAGCGTATATATTGATCACATTTGACTCTAGTTTAGATACAAGAAGCTGTTTATGATATGTAAAAACCACATGTACTGTTAATCACATCTAAAAACCACATCTAGTGTTAACCTTTTAAATAAAATATATAACTGAGGTGTCTTAAATGTTATGAGTAAAAATGCCAGTAATATTCAAACAAAAAATAATCATAAGGTTATATTAAGTAAAGCCCCATGAAAAAATTAAAGGATAAAGACAAAAAGAAAGAAAGAATTGGTTATATTTTTTTATTCCAAAATGGTACTACTTCTTCTCACCCAAAGCTATCTTGATCCTGGTTTGCCCTTTAAGCATTACTAAAAGTATTTTCTCTAACAGCACACCAGTCTTTTATGCCCCTTCATTTTTGTGCTATTTCAGAACATGTATTGATCATGTGACTACCCTCCACCAATCATACTGTGCCATCTATACTAGCACAATCTTCACTTTCTCGATTGGCATTCTAATATATATAAATGGGTTTTAAGTCGTTCTCCATGTGACTACAAAATTTTGATTGTACTTGATCACAAATTTATATCAGTTTCAACTTTAGGTTTCGACTTCATGTGTTTGATTTTCATTGTTCCTACTCGTTTGTTTCAGACATATATTTCTGTTTTCCGAATTCTTATTTGTTCATATGAATTCGAGATTTAATATGGCAGATGATGAAATTCTTGCTTTAGTAGACAATGGTTCTGATATATATATATATATATAAACTACCT